TTTGATTTCTGCAGTTTTCAAATGATAGAAATGCAAAAACTCAGTCTTGATGGTGTTGGTGGTGTTTGGTTTGATTGGTGTGGCTTGGCTTAGTTTGCTTTGATGTGTGGTTTGGTTTGGTACATTTCTCAGGGCACTGAAGCAAGTGGCACGAGTAGTCACGAGTCTATCCAGTGAGCTGGTCACCAGGAAACAGTTTAGGAAACAGTTTAAGCAGCCAAGTTTGACCAACTTTGTACCCTTAAGCACACTTAATAAGAACTGTCATCTTTCACCCTTAGTCCTCTTGGCTCTTCCCTAGTCAGTCCTTGGGCAGCATGAGGCAGGGCCTTGTGGAGCCTAGGAGAGGGTAGAGCCAATCTGAGTCCTTCAGCATCCTTCAGCATCAGGTGCCTGAGTAGAGAGGGCTGGCCAGAGAGGATTCTTCAGGCTCACAAGAGCATCACTTATGAGGAAAAGAAACTGTTTTCTGCACGCGCAGCCACTCTGTGGGTTCTTTGTAAGAATAAAAGCAATACCTGTTGCCAGAAATAGAATGATTGCCAAGGGTCATATGAAGAATAAACTAGTGAGGCTTAGCAATAGCATGTGGTACACAGAACTGGTCTTTCTATGTGACAGGGTGAACCGTGTCATCTTTCTCTTCTGCTGAACATCTCGCCCCTTTTCAGCCCAGGTATTTATGAAACCATGAGAGTTTATAAATACACATGCAGGGTGAGCGTCTTGTGAAAACCACAAGTACAGTTCACACACACCAACCTAGGAATTTACCTGCTAAATGATGCAAGGTCATGAAGTACATGTGCCTGAAGCTGCACTTGGATTTGAACTTGGGCAACTTCATCAAATGTTTACTAAGACCGAACCCTTTGAATATTGGATATTTCTCACTAAGTCCCGCCACACCTCCATGAAATAAAGCACCGTTGTTCTCCATACACAAGAAGACTGAAATTTAGAGAACTTGTATTATCTTAGCTTGGGTCTCATCCCTGGAAAAAAACATAAATAAGCCTCAGAGAACACACAGAGTCAGCGTGCCGTAGTTACTGAACTAGCAAATGATGGCCTCAGGACTTGAACCCTGGTCTCCCAGACTACACAGCCTGTGTTGCTAATACCCACTTTGTCCCGATCACTTTGCGCCAGTAATCAATTTCTTGTATATGCTTGGGTTCATTTGTTGTGTACATTCCCTTCTGAGCCACCCCACAACTTGACTAATTAATCATTAGAAAAGTATATTTTAAATCTGGACGTGTCCTATTTTGGATTATTCTTGATGTTTGCCATCAGAAGTGACCAAAAGTGGCCTGAGCCTGTAGTGGAGTGCGTGCCTAGTATGCATGAGGCCTCGGCTTTAAACAGAACCAATCATACCTATGCAGGATTCATAAAAGAACTACTTTGTCCTTATTTCAAAGAACTTTTGCTAAGTACTTCACTTAGTGATTTAGAAAACTTCTGTTTCTTTACATAGGAAAAAAAAACTCTGAATGTTACTGATCTCTTTGTTCATGTGTCAGGATGTCCCAGTCCTGTGCCATGAATAAAACATATGGTGCTTCATCTGTGCTGTCTTGCTTAGCATCAGTTGAAATTTCAATTTTAGAGCATGTAATCCTTCTGTTTAGAAACACTCCTTGCTGGAGCCAGCACTGCAGCGATGGAGATGTTCTCTCACCTGGAACATGAGATTCTAGGCTTCTGCAGGCCAGGCAGAGCATAAATGTAGTAAATAGAAATACGGCCAGTTTTCTCCTAAGGAGTTAAGCTTTGGTACTTGAGTGTACTGTGGCCGTGTTGTCTTGTAAATCTGCGTAGGGTTGTCTGTAAGGAGGCAGAAAGGACAAGGGGATTTGGGGCTTTGGGTGTTGGGGAGGCACTTGGTTTGGTTACGGTACCAGTGTGTGTCCAGGCCATCAGCATGCAGAAGTTTACAGCTGGAGGTGATGAATTTGCCCTGCCTTTCCCGTGCCATTTTTCCCTCAGCTGTGCTGTTTGACCTTAATACATCCGTACCATTGCAAGTTACAGGTACTGAGTATACAGGAAGCAAGGAAAAACTGCTTATTGACAGAAGTGACAGAAAACTGTTATTTTGGTGTTTCTAAGTCATGCATTTCCTGCAGTCCTAATTAGTGTGACGCAAATTCATTGCCAAGAAATTGTGTGGTGTTTGTTCAAGCATCCTTATAAAATTGTGAGGCTTGGGAGAGTTAGCCCAGAGTGTTTACGTACTGAGGTATTCTGGTGCCAGCAGGGCAGAGGAGTTGGTGCAAATTGTTACTCAGATATAATTAAACCTAGGTCACATTCGAGTCCATTAAGCAACAGCCTCAAATATTTTTAATTAATGGGTTCAGATTGCTTGGACTTGAAGGAGCTAATTAATTTTTTCCCCCAGATTTTTCTATTCAAAGAGGCAAGCATTGTGCTTCTTCCATTTCCTCCAAAATTCTCTTGACAATTTAGAGTTGTTGGAAGGTATCGCCTCTTTATGGCAGCCTCTGATTTCCAGAGGTCAGGAAGCTCTGTAGGCTCCAGATCTCTGGCTAAATGCACAGAAGCCCAGACTGTATCTTCTAATACCTTTCTTCTCAGAGTCAGAAAGATCTGGATCCTCCTATTCTGCACCTAACCATAGCCTGATAGAAGTGATTCATTTTTCCTTAGAAAGATGGAGTGTCTTCCTCAAAGCATGACAGGGACTGTATATCGGAAATCAGGAGCCATAATGATGGTTACCCTGGATTCTTCCTTCTATTTAAAGCTGATTTATCTTGGGAAATTATACAAAGTGTGATAGAAATACATGGTAAAGGGGCTGGGGATTTAGCTCAGCTGCACAGCGCCTGCCTGGCAAGCGCAAGGTCATGAGTTCGATTCCCGGTACCCCCCCCAAAAAAATATATGGTAAATATTTAAATTTTTAAAATTTAGTACAGTAAAGGACATATTGCCATTAATTCCTCTCAAAATACCACCCCACACACACACTTTGAACACACCTAGCTTATCATTCCTGCAACTTTCTGAAGGAATTCTGGAAGTCTTCTTTTGTGTTTTTATGAGGTATCAGCTGCTGAGTATCCAATGGAAAGGTAGGCTCACGGAAGCGTTATGGTGTCCTCACCCGCCTTGTTGAGTCGCTCTGTCACCCTGTGACTCTGGGTCTTCCCTGAGGTCAAAATGACCGTGAAAGGTACACACTTCATATCAGTTCAGGACACTGAGGCAACCATAACAGCACAACAAAAGACACTCACAGAAAAGGACTTCCAGAACTGCTTCAGGAAGTAGCAAGAACAATGCTGTGTCCAGGGGAAGGTGGAGTATTTTGAGGGGGATTAATAGCAGTGTGTTTTTACTATAATAAATTACCCTAAGCATTCGTCATATTTATTGTTCAATCACACCACATATCCCACTTTTTCCTTGCTTTTTTGTTTGTTTGGCTCCCATGGGCCTGGCCTGCCCGAGCCATACCAGTGCCCATCAGCTCCCTCTGCCCTCTGCCCATCTCACTTTTCTGTATCATAAGAATGAGATCCCACAGGAGCCTCCGTGTGGCATAGAGGTTTCCTTCTGTCCTGCTGCTGCTCCTACCAGCTCTTACTACCAGGTTCTCCCTCAACTCATGGCCACAGGAGCTCTGCAGGCTTCCCAAAGCTTCTGTTCTTTCTAGCTCGCTCCACTGTGCATGCATCTACCTGGGTGATCTCAAGGTTTATGGAAAATGAAAGGTTTTCCCTCCAAAGAACCAGAAAGTTGAGTACCCTTTTCTGTACAAAGCAAGAGTTAATGGGATAGGAAGTCTGTCCAGAGCACCCAAGATTTTGGTGTTTTGCCGCAGAGTTCCATCGGGGGCTGTCATCTTGAAGTCTGTTAAAAGCGTTCTGTGCGCTGCTGCCTCAGTATTGAGTCCAGCATGTGCAGTCTGCGTGTCCCAGTGTTGCCCAGGGAACCCAGCAGAACTGGGCTCAATAATCATTAAGTTAAAGCAGAAAAGACAGGGAAGCTGAAGGCAGAAGGAAATGCTGTCCTGGGCCAGTCAGCCTTTGTCACCTGACGTGCCTCTGGACACTGGAGCAGTTTCAGAACTGGCCCCTTGATGTGGCCAGGGGGAACACAGACTTCCCCTGGCCTAGGCTTGGACCTCCAGGCCTCCTGGAATGCATGGTGTTCCTACACTGAGATTGGGCAGCAAGATGCCTCTCAGGGTGTTATTTTCTTTTGGGGGCCCAGGATCCAGTACTGCTGAAGTACAGAGACATTGCCCTTTGTCACAGTGGCTCCCTACTACTACATGGCTGCTCCTAGGACTGAGTGAGCTGGCTTTTGCTGCCATCTATTGTCTGCCTTGGGGGAATGCGTGGCTTGCTTCCTGGAGAGGGAAGCTTTGCCTAAGCAGATTGAGCCGCTCAGCAGCCTCCCTCAAACCCAGGGAAAATAAAAACGGAGATGTTAGTGTTCCCCAGTGAAAACCCGTTAGGAAAACTTGTGTTTACTGACCTACCATCATTTTAAAGCAGTCCCATTTGTACTGTAATCAAACCACCAAGTGACCTTTCTGTCCCTCCGGCCAGCATCCCTGAAAGGGCCTGTTGTTCCTCTGCTTCAATGAAGAAACCTTCTGTTTCGTTTAGCAAGCGTTTTTCCAGTCATGTCTGCTGGTGAGTCACAGAAAGATGATTGTTAGGTCTTGGTTTTTGTTGTTGTTTTTAATACCCGACCTCTCTACCCCCGTCAGCACCCCCCAGTACTTACCACTTCAGTGAGCCAAGCTGCCTTATAAGCGCTTTCACAGTTCCTGGTGATGTGTGTCCCATCTTGGTATAAGCTCCTTCTCTTTGCCCTACCCTACCCCCAGGGCCTGGGACCTTTCCAGAATGTCTGAAGCACCCACAGGAATGGACCACAGAACAGCCTTAGGAGCCAGGGGGGCCAGTTCTCACAGATGTGTTGATAATGGTATATGTTTTTCTATCTTACAGTTGTTTGTTGGACTCGGGTTTCCTTATGAGGGCCCAGCTCCCCTGGAAGCTATTGCAAATGGGTGTGCTTTTCTGAATCCCAAGTTCAACCCACCCAAGAGCAGCAAAAACACAGATTTTTTCATTGGCAAGCCAACCTTAAGAGAGGTAAGTATCAAAATCTCTCTACTTTCAAGAAGAAGAATAATAGAGGCTGGGGAATAGCTCAGTGATAATATGCTCACCTGGCAAGCACAAGACCCAGGCTAGGTTTCATCCTATCCCTCCCACCCCCTGACACATGCACAGAAAGTATAATAGCAATTTATTGAGTCTTAATGTAAATAAAATTATCTGACCTGGCCATCAGGAATTGGAGGGAAAGTCATCTGTCAGTATCCATCAAGGATTGGTTCCAGGATCCCCACACATCCCCAAATCTGTGGGTGCTCAAGCCCCTTATATAAAATGACACAGCATTTACATTCTACACAAATTTTTCCATATACTATAAATCATCTCCGGATTTCTTATACCTAGTACATTGTAAATGCTATATAGATAGCAGTTGTATTGTTTAAGGGATGATGACAAGGAGAAAAAAGCCTGTACATGTTTGAAACAGATGCATTTCTTCAGATTTTTTTTTTTATAATTTCCAAACCAGAGGATGTGGAACCTGTGGGTACAGAAAGCCAACTGGATTAACTTCATTTAACATAGGTGGGAAGGGAGGGTTTTGGAAGAGAGATAAATGACTTGATCAAATCTCCTTGTTAGAGGCAGGGCCAGCATTGAATCCAGATCTCTGTCCACAAAGTAAGGAGCTTTTCACTCTACCCCTAACATTTTTAATGTGAACACAGATGTTCTAGCTTTCTGATCACAGCCAAACTGAGTTGATGGAATGAAAAACTCAGCTGGGGGGACTCTGCGTCATGGGCTCTGGAGAATAAAAAGTGGGCCGTGGGTGTTCTCAGAGAACATGAGCCTCCGGAGCTCAGACATGTCATGGGTGACTGACGTAACATGCCTGACACTTTAGGCCACCATGAGCAGGCACCATCCTGTGAACTAGTCCTGCCATTGCTAAAACCATTTGCCTTGTTTGAATCGCCTTCCAAGATCCTCTTGAAAATCCACAGCGGATGATAAATTGTCGTCCAGGATAGTCGGATTTGATTTGGGGCAATAAAGCAGTCATTCACAGCTAAGTGTCAGTGACAAAGCTGGATGCTTTGGTATCTGGTCAGAAGCAAGTATGTGAAACAAAACCATGAGATTGATTTTACTATCTCTTTGTATCAGTAAGTAGCTCAGGAGGCTGCTCACAAAAGGGATGTCAGAGCACCATCCTGGTCATCCAGCGCCTTCTGCTAGCGATTACACTGATGGCCAGCCCTCCTATGACATAAGAGCATGTCCTTTTGAAGAATTCAGTTGTGCTGCTTTTACTGGGCCACTTTGCCAGAACTGGCCTTCCAACTAATACATAAAATGTGTTTCCAATGATTCCTCCTTATTTGATGAATCACAAATCTCAGCCAGTCCATAGAGTTGATGATTTTGAGAGTTCTTTTCTCTAAACCCTGCTATCGTTGGTTCAGTGGCCAAAGGAGATGGGGAAAGATCAACAAGATCCAGAGATTATCTCAGAGAGGTTAACTATGGCCCAGATACTCACTGAAAAGAGTTCATTGTGTGTTCGCTTGCTTGCTTTTTCCTTCTGCTAGTGCAATGACCTAAACTGTTCCTTTTAGGGAATAGTTTCTTTTTGAGAGGTCAGTTCATTCATTAATTATTCAACAATAATTAATGCCCACTGTGCACCAGGTGCTGTGGGAGGTGCCGTTATACAGAGGTCAGGAACACAGCCTGACATTGAGGAGTTTGTTCTTTGGAAAGATTTAAAAGATGCTTCCTACCAGTGAAAATATTTCAATTTAGGAATCTTTGCTTCAAACATAGCACTGACTTCTTTGAAATTTAGGACTTTTGGGTGGGAAGTAGATTTCAGTCTGATAACTAGATTTGTGTTGTTTCTTTATTTTACATAATGAAAAGTGCATATTTAAGGTGTACAAGTTGATGTTTGATATACATTATGAAATGATCAGCACAATCAACATTACTAACATATCCATCACTTTACACAGGTCCTAGGTGTATGTTGTGGAGCATGTGGTTACAAACACAAGATCTGTCGTCCTAGCAAATTTCAAATGTACAATACAGCATTGTTAACCATAGTCTCCGTGCTAAACAATAGATTTCTAGACTTATTCATCTTGCATAACTGATACTTTGTACTTTTTGATCAACAAATCCTCATTCACCTCGTGCCCCAACCCCTGGCAGCCACCATTGTCCTCTGCTTAGATGAGTTCAGCTATTTCAGACTGCACTTATAAGTGAGATCATGCAGTTTTCGTCTTTCTGCGTCTGACTTTTTCCATTCAGCCCAGTGTCCTCCAGATTCACCCATGTTACTGAAAATTGCAGAGTTTCATTTTTTCGTGCTAAACTCCACTTGGCACATAGAAACACACAGTTTTTTCATTCATCTGTTGGTGGACTCTTGAGTTGATTCCACATCTTGGCTACTGCACATGGTACAGCAGCAAACATGGGATTTCAGATACCTCTTCAATGTAATGATTCTGTGTCTTTCTGATTTAAAGTTCAATGCAATCTCATTTGCCTGTGTTTTGCATCTGTTGCCTGTACTGTCAGGATCATCTCCAAAACACTATTGCCCAAGCCAGGGTCAGGAAGCTTTTTTCTATTTTTTTTTTTTTTTAATAGCTGTACTGTTTTGGGTCTTATGTTTAAACCTAGTACCTTTTGAGTTGACTTTTGTATGTGGTGTGAGATACAGATATAATTTCATTCTTCTGCATGTGGTCATCCAGCTTTCCTAGCACTCTTCATTGACAAGACCATCCCTCTCCATTGCGTGTTCTTGGCACCCTTTTGAAGATCAGATAATCACAAATACACAGACGTACTTCTGGACTTTCTCTTCTATTCCACTGGCCAATATGTATATGTCTGTTTATATGCTAATATTTTCCATAGGTTTTAATTTCAAGTATAGGAAATCTCCGAAGTTCTACTTCTGTGCATATTTGAAATTACCCACTTTTTTACACTTTTCATGATGAGATATACATGTAACATAGAGCTTACCATATTAACCTTTTTTAAGTGTGCAATTCCCTGGCATTAAGTAGATTCACCATGCTGTGCAACCACCACTGTTATCCATCTCCTGAACTCACTCATCAACGTAATCAGCAACTCTGGACACATTAAATAATAACTTCCCACTCTCCCACCAGTCCCTGGTAACTTTTACTCAGCTGTCTCTCTATGTGAATTTGCCTACTTTGGGTGCTTCATCTAAGTGAAATCATATGGTATTTGTTACTTTGTGTTTGGCTTATTCACTTAGTTTGATGTTTTAAAGATTTGTCCCTGTGGCAGCGTGCAGCAGAGTCCCTTTCTGTTGTAAATATCCTGTTGTATAAATATTTCATGTGTGTGTTTTCCATTCATCTCCTGATGGACATTTGAATACATTTTGCCCACTGTGAATAACACTACTATGTACATTGGAGTGTAAGGATCTGAGTGTCTCCTTCCAGTTCTTTGGGGTACGGACCTACAACTGGAATTGTTAGATTGTACCTTAGTGTATATTTTAAAATACAGTCATACAGAAAAGTTGCAAAACATAATACAGTTTTATCTAGCTTACCCTAGTGGTAGCATTTTGCAGAACCCCACTACAATGGGCAAAATGAAGAAATTAACACTGGCACCCTGGTATTCTCTAAACTACAGGCTTTGTTTGCACTTCATCAGCTTTTCCACTAAGATTCTTTCTCTGTTCCCAGATCCAGTCCAGAATCCCACGTTGCACTGCATTGGTGTGTCCTTTCTAGTCTTCTCCAGTCCTTCATTACAAAAAATTAGTGTTTCATTGTCACTCATAGTACTTTTAAAGAATACAGCTCAATTTTTCTGTACACTGAACATTTCCTGAAAAACGTTGAGGACCCTCTTAGACACCAGCTGGCCCTTGCCCTGTGAATGATGTAACATTGTATAGCTCAGATCAGAAAAGTACGTATGTTCATTCTCTGTCAGTTGCCATCATTTGGTAATTTGCTTTTTGCTGAGGTCGTAGAGGGTTTTCATTCTTCATGGCATAAAGAGAAGAGAGACATTGGAGTGACTGAGCAGGATAATTCCACCAGTGCTTAAATGAGACTCCAGCAGAAAGACAGTGTGGAATCCTTTCAACAGTTGCTCAGCGAGTGACCTCACAGAGATGACTCCATCAGTCCTGGGCTCCCACAGGACCGCCAAGAAGCAGAAGGGCAATTGACAGGTGTCTGATGTATCCCCTCAGGCCCCATGGCATTAGCTGTTGCACTGGAAGAATTTAGCAGAGCACATTTCCTGTTTTCCGGGAGCTCCAAATCTGATATGGAAGAGTGATAAGATAGCTGCACATCAGTGGAAGTGCGTAAAGAAATAGCTAAGCGGATGAAGGAGGGGAGTTAACTTGGAGTTGCGCCGGGCAGAGGGGAATGTGCAGAATTAACTGAAAAAGTGAGGGGATTTCAAGCCTCTTTCCAAAGGCATGAATGTCCGTGAACTGGGTAGACCCCAAGGAGGTCATTTTGGCTCACGCAGGATGGCAGGTTCATCCTGCAGCTCTGTCCATCCACAGCAGGCAGCTCTGAGAGGGCTCAGTGACCTTGATCTCATGGCCAGGTGGGCCCCATGCTCTGCTCGGCTCTGCTTTACTAAAGCCTCCAAATTCCCTTAACCAAAAAGCCGTAAATAGGTGTACGGATGACCTGTTTTTCCTCAGCAAACGGAAAAACGTTAACAAAAGTGCACATAAGCACAAAGCTGTCCCTTTATGCACATAAATTGATCCATGTCAATTGCCTTCGCTTAAAGAAAAATCTAGATTTCTAAATAAGAGTTTAGCTCTCTGTTTATTTTTACATTGGACCAGCTTTTAAAAGTGCAGCATCTACTCAGAGGGAAAGTTCCGTAATGCCTTAAGTAATGTGAGTGGTTAGAGATATACTTCAATATAAATTGGATTTTTATCTTTATTGGGAAGCATATTAGTAAGTTCCTGATCATCCTTCTGACATTTTGTAAAGCATTAAGAATTCTCTGGCTTCAGGGGTTTTTGTCCATAAAAAGAACTAATGTTCCCCTTGGAGATTTAATAGCCACTCTGAAATAATGTCTCATATTTAATAAGATTTTCATTACTTTTACAAACTATACTTCAGTACATTCCCTGATTGATATACAATGAAGCAGCAGAGATCAGACGGTTCTCAATAAATTAACAAGGAGGAATGTAATATTCAGAGGGGGCTAATGAATCACAGAATGCCTCACTCATAAAATTAAGCAACCCTCAATAAATGTAAATGAATAAATGATAATGGTTCAGCATTTTGTATTTTCTAAGTGCTTAGAGCAACCTTGTAAATAAGCAGGAACCTTAAATGAGGAGAGGGAAGAAGGACTGCTGCTAATGTATAAATTACCAAGTAGTGACAGTGATGGCAACTTTAATTTACCCTGATTCTGTGGAAGGACTAATTAGTCTGTTCTCAAAGCTACAAAATGAAAATGATGTGACATTTTGTGCATCTTCACAAAAGGTCTAATGCAGGCACAGATTCCATCCTGGAATTTTTTTTTATGTCGGCCAGCTTTAAAAGAGTGATTAAAACACTTTTGTCTGTCTTTCTCTGAAGAACTCAGTGGCTTCCTGTAGCTTGTCATCTCCCTTTTTTGTCCAGAACTAACCTTGCTGAATGATCTCGATTTAAACTTGACTCAGCTACTTTCTGGCTATGTGACCTTGAGGAAGTATAAACCCCTCTGCACCTCTGAATCCTTGTGGATACATAGAAAATGGGATGAATAATGTATGTGCGGGTGATGAGCGCGATGCCTGGCCCAACAGGGGACTTTATTAATATGCAGTGAGTTAAAATATGCACAGAGGAAACAAAGGACACCTTTGCACAGCTCCATGGGCCTGTGAATTGTCTGTGGCCTCTTTCACTGACCACAGAGCAAAGCAGAAGAAGGGATGTGTCAGAAGACGAGGAGCTGAAGGCTAGTGAGGGGCTGACTAGCAAAAGAAGCAGGAGCAGACACTGGGTCATCTGCAGCCTTGGAGTGTAGATTTTCTTGCGTGAGCCTGTTGGTTGGCAGTGAAGGCTGTGACTGTACTTTGCTTTTTCTGCCCTGAGTAGTGGGTGCAGCCACTGATACAGTGGGATACCGGGAACGAAGGACAAGAGCAAGATAGGGAAGTGCCGATTCGATCATCCAGTCCTCTGGGGGTACATCTGTGTCAGAGGCTGAAGGAACAAGGGCAAAAAGAGAACCAGTTGGGCCTCTGGAGCACAGGTCTTAACACTACTGGAGCCAGCAGCTTCCTTTACAGAATACGATATAACATGAGCCATTGAGTTTTCTCTCCTGAAATGAAATTTGTGAATATAAGCTGCCCACATAGCTAATTTCAAAAGAAGTGTTGTTCCTTAAGTGTAATATAAAGGAGAAATAAAAGGAAAATAATTTCTAATAAAGTAATGCGTAATTCAGTATCATGTGTCCAAGAACTATATTAAAAGATAACAGCGTCATGTTCCTCCTTACAATGAACATTTGTGTTTAAAAGAAGTAACACATTTGAGAGAACATCTTTAGCCTTTTTTTACTTGTAAATGATATTATGAATCAGCTAAATATAAGTGTGTATACATAGCACACATACATATATAATTGCCACAAACCAGATTGCTGTAAATATAGGCCAATGGGATATTTTACTGAAGACTCTTGATATGTTGAGTGGTTTTGACTCTGTTACCATGATTTTTACAAAATGGTGGCAGTACTGGGGATATAGCTCTACAGCATAGCGCCTGCCTGCCTGCCTGGCAAGTGCGAGGCCCGAAGTTTGATTCCCAGTGCCAAAAAAATGGTGATAGCGCATGGGAGAAGTTCCAAATAAAATAGAATACAAATATTCCTTGACTTACGTGGTAATTTTCCCCTGAAAAATTCAGTGTATATTAAAACCGTATCAAAGAGTTAGATTCTACACATCCACCTGAAAGCCCTACAGGACATTTGAAAATTATTTGGTTTAGGATAGCTTAGTGATAGAGAGTATGCTTAGCATGACCAGAGGACTGAGTTCAGTCCCTACCATCCCCCCCAAAAAAAAAGTTTGGGAAATGGACAATTCTTTGTGTACGACTATCTTGGGCATCATTGGCTGTCATGTGTCCCTGGTCCCCACCCGTAGATTAAGGGTAGCACCTCAAACACTGTGGAAACTGAAAATGTCCTCACCGCTGTCTGAAAAGATTCAAGAGTAGAAGTGGAGACATGACTGAGGGACAGATTCAGCTGTCTCAAAGAAGCCTCTTGAAGAACTCAGAATTGCCAATATGCATGCTTGGTACCTTTGCCAATGCTTTGTTTTTAAAATAAAACCTCTTTTAGAATAAAAACTGCTGACCTTATGCTATTCTGCTTACAAATTGTCTTTATAAATTGCAGGCTCCAGTGTTATGCTAATGATTATTCCTAAACTGTTCAAAAAATTGTTTTCTGACGGCATCATTTTTCTGTCACTCTTTGTATGCGCTAGTACTTAGCCTCTTATGACTTTCACAGCCTTAATTTTTATTGCCATTTTCTATGCTTACCTGTCTATCCTAGCTAGGTTATCAGATACTGATTTGCTCTAGGTGATTGTCAGGGATGGTCGACTTTCCACTGGTGGGACAAAATACCGTACTTGACAGACACAATTCAAAGGAGGGAAGAGTTCTCTTGGCTCAGATTTCAGTCCATAGCTGGCTGGCTGAAGGTAGAAACATGGTAGAAGGGTGTGGAGGAAGAAAGCTGCTCAAATAATGCCATCCAGGAAGAGAGAACAGGGGAGGAACGTGAGAGCAAGAGCCTGCGGCCCACAGCTGGTTATGGCTGAGAGTAAACGTTCACCAGGAGGTAAAGCCACTGAAAAGGCTGGGGTTGTAGCACAGTGGGAGAGCAGCTGCTCAGCCTGCACAGGCCCTGGGCTCCATCTCCAGCAACACACACACAAACCCACCTGTCCTGTAGTTGTAACATTTTCTTACTTCCAAGTGGGACTCCGGATGTGGAGCCATCACTTTTTGTTCTTATCTGCTGTTTACTTAGGAGGTTCATGATTGTCAAGGAGAAAGAGAAAAACCTCTCGTTACCTACACAGATACAGTTTAGTACCATTAGAAAGCACAATGCTTCATCTAGCACTGAAGCTTTTTCCAAAAAATTCATTGTCTGTGAAACTGAGGACTGTGTTTTCTCTTTTCCAGCTGACATCCCAGCATCCTTACGCTGAAGTTTTCATCGGCCGGCCACATGTTTGGACTGTTGATCTCAACAATCAGGAGGAAGTAGAGGATGCAGTGAAAGCAATTTTAAATCAGAAGGTTCTGTCTTTTTATTTCACCTCTCCCCACCGTATTTGCAAAGTGACCTGCAAGTATGGAAAGCACCACAGGCCCTTGGATTCTGTAATGGTGCTTTCCCACACTAGCTGAAGCTAGAACGTAGCCATGCTGTAGGATTTAGCCTGGGGATTTCATGGATGCTTCATGAAATGGAAAATGGAACTGGTGTCCAGATGGGGGCATGGATTCTACAGATCCTCTTGACAGGACTCCTGGGCCACAAGGCTGGGAAGAGGCACTTGAATTTTACTTGGTCCCATGATCTAATTGTGACACAGAAATCTGAAAAGATAGCTCTGCTTCTTTTACCTTCCCCTGGACAGGTAGAGATAGCTGTAGGGCCAGTGCTGAAGGACATACTGGGAAGGGATTTTGGAGAACATCTGTTTATTCGGTTTTTCTCCCTGAGTATCTGGTAGACTCTTGTAATGGCAGCTAACTTTTCTGGCCTCTCCTGATCAGTTCAGCAGATATTTGTTAAGCCCCTCCAGTGCATAGAACACCCTCTGAGACAGCCTGGGAGGAGAAGGGTTGTTTACTTCCACAGACATAGATGAGTCTGGCTCCCTCTGTAAGAAGTTTACTGTCCTCTAGGCGTGTGATTGGTCACCCCGACACTGCTGCGGTCTCTCTCAGGTGAACCTGCCCCTGTATGTCTTTTAGTAGAACACTTTTCATTCTCGGTTATAAAATTTGAAGGGAAGTTACACACATGTGTGAAGGTGGGCAGGACTCACACACTCTGGGTTTGCATTCTGCTTTCTAGCAGCATTCCCCATCTGTCATCTAGGGACAGCAGTCCCGTATTTGTCATGTATAGCTAATATTACCTCTTAGTGGTCACTTATGCAGGCTAACTGAGATCATGTGTACAGTATGCTTAAGTACAGTGTCTACTACACAGTGTCCAGTTAATATTTAAGTACTCGTCTTACTTATTAATTGATAGTCTGAATTTCCACTAGACTCTAAGGAATGTTAGAGCAGCAAGTATATCTGCCTATTATATTCCCAGTAAATATATCTCACCCTTGTGATCTACCTGATGGATGATGGATGGATGGACGGATGGATGAACAGGAAGGAGGGAGAGAGTATTGAGGTTTCCAAACAAACACATAGATATAACACAATGCAGAGGTGGTCTGTGCCATAAGTACCATGCAGAAAATATAGGAGTAAAAGTAGGAGGGGGCTTTCTGAAAAACACTTCTCTGTGAGTTAAGTCTTCTAGGGTCAGTAAGAATTTGAAAACCAAAACCAAAGGGCATGGATTCAGGGCATGGTGTAAAGAGGAAGAGGCTAGAAATCCGTCTTAGGAAAAATGTCCAGATTTCCCCTGTGAAGGGCCGTGTTTCCTCTCTGGGAAATCAAATGGAATAACCAATTTGTGGCCCACTGCAGAAGTATCAATTTCAGTTAATTCTGAGCACTTCCAGGGCAACAAGCACACTCTGGTGCATTGTTCGTGCCCTGCCCCCTTAAAGGTGGTCTGGCTTTGGGTAGTAGTATGGCTGTCAGCTTTCCTTTAAAGACATGCACAGTCCCAGTGCCATTTGCAACAGTTTTGGGCAGAAGTGCCCAACCTGAGGTGACAGCTGATAGAAGTGTCCAGTGGAATATGGCACCATGGGGCTCCTCACAAAGCTTCACCACCAGGGAGTCATTCCTGAGATGAAATTATCTCTTGTTTTGCTTGTTGTTTTTCAGTAGTGGAGGGTGAACCTGTGGGCTTCCCCCTGAGCTACACTGCCAGCCCTTTTTTGAGACATGATCTCACTATGTCTATAAGTTGCCCAGGTTCAAACGTCCCATCTTCCTGCTGCTCTCTCCCAGAATGCTGGTATTACAGGCATTCACCAGCATGTCTGGCTCTTCTATTTTGAGTCTACAAGTTCCTTGGTGTGTTCATTAGTTACCTAGAATACAGTGGGTGGCTTAAACATCAGCAACATGGTTTCTCATTTTGGGAGGATAGATGCCTGAAATCAAGACGTAGGCAGGATCATGCTTCCTTAGAAGGCTGTAAGGGAGAAAAATTGTGCACTTGTATCTGAAATTTCATTTTCTGTAGTCAGACATGGTCCAAAATATTGAGGGGAGAAATTCAAGAAATACAGTCATACTTTTTTTTTTTTTTTGGAGACAGGGACTCACTGTGTAGTTTAGGCTGGCCTTGAACTCACTTATGTAGCCCAGGGTGGCCTCAAACTCACAGCAATCCTTCTGCTGCAGCCTCCCAAGTGCTGAGATTACCGGCATGTGCTACCACACCCAGCTATATCATACATTTTAAATTGCACACTTATTCTGAATAACATGGTGAAATCTCATGTTGTCCTGCTGTATCCCATCTAGGATTTGAATCAGCCTTCTGTGTAATGTATCCATGCTATATATGCTACCCTCCCTGGTTTACTTACTTAGTAGTAGTCTTAGTTGTCAGACCAACTCTTGTGCTGTCACCATACTTGTAAAGGACTGAGTACCATTCCTTGGTTTCAGGTCTCCACTAGGGGTCTTGGAATGTATCCCCTGCTGACAAGGCAATAAGGGCTTCTGTATTCTTCCAGCTTCTGGCAGCTATAGGCATTCCATGGCTTGCCACCTCAGAGCTTTAATCTCTGTCTCCATCATCAAGTGCTTTCTCCTTGTCTGTCTCTGCTGTTCCTCTTCTTATATTGGATTAGGACCCACTCAAATTCAGCATGACATCATCTTAATTACATCTGCAAAGATCCTATTTCCAAATACTGCACATTCAAGATACTGGAGGCTAAGACTTCAGCATATCTTTTAAGGAGGGGCAGTTCAGCCCACCCAGGACACTTAGTTAAGTACACATGCCCTTGAGAAAGACTAATTTGAAACTTGAGTGGAGGCACCAAACTTCAGATTATGGGATGCAAACCTTTCCATGTAATAAATCATTTTGCCAGGCTAGAATCTAATGTGAATTCCTGGTGCGTAAACCCTGAGCATGAGGCTAAGTTCTGTACAGTCCCTCCCACATGCATTTGTTCTGTTCGCTCCATGCAGCCTCTAATGCTCCACAGTTTAATTAAAACCCTCGTCCACCTTACTCCACATTACAATGAAAACTAAGGCCGCTTAAAAAAAATTGTTAACATTTATGCATGTTACTTATGTTATAAGCTTTGTCTCATTCAATTTTTCTGCGATTCTATGTTATTCCTATCTTAATAGATGAGAAAATTAAGGCTTACAGAAGGTAAGCGATTTACCTAAGGTCACATAACTAGTAACAAGTAGAACCTGGATTTAAATTCAGAAATTTAGTTGTTAAGATAATACTGCAAAATTTAAAAAGAAAACAATACGAAATGGAGTAAAGGGAAAGAATGAGAAAGAAGAATGGAGTAAGCAATGAGATTAACATAAAAACTTGTCATAGAAATCTTTTTTACTTAAAAAAAAAATCTTTGTACTCGTTAGAAATGGATCAGAAGTCTGAGGCTGATCTTTCCTACATATAATTCCAAGATTGTAAATTATGTGACTCTCAGAAAAAATAAAATAAAACATGACTTATCAAGGAAGGTAAATATTGCGGTAGTTCATCCCTATAACCCCAGAACTCTGGGAGGGTAAAGCAGGAGAGAAGCAGGGAAGTTTAAGTACAACCTGGACAACCCTGTCTCACATTTAAAAATAAATAAATAAATGAAAGCTGGGATTTAGCTCAGTGCAAAGGCTCTGGGTTCAAATCCCTAATGAAAAAAAAGAGAGCAAGGTCAATAAAACCAGGCCTAGAGATAGCTCAGATGCTAGAATTATCTGACAGCAACTTACTGAAAGAAGTAGACAACATATGTGAACAGATGGGAAATTTCAGCAGAGATGGAAGCTATTTTTTTCTTTTAAAGAGAAAAAAATAAAATTTCAAAACAAGATAACAGGAGGGTAACAATGGTACACATTGCATATTATTATCTTTAAATTACTTACTCGTAGTATAAGATATTGGCATTTAATTGTCCAAACTATATTAGCACAAACAGAAGCTATTTTTTAAGCAAAATGATAAATGTTAAAAATAAAAACCACAATATCAAAAACAAATTAATTTTAGAAATTCATTTGGTGGGCTTCTCACCAGACTGTTCACTGCAGAGGAACAAAAAAAAAAAATCAGTGAATTTCAAGACTTTTTAGTAGAAATTATCCAAAGAAATGCCAAGAGAAAAGAAAATGAAAGAGAAGTGCCTGTGAGGTCCATTGGACAATGTCAGGTAACTTAGGTATAGCTGGAATCTCAGAAGGGAAAGAGAATGGCACAGAAGAAATAATTGAAGAGATAACAGCTAAGAATTTTCAAATAAAGAATGACTAATTTACAGATCCTAGGAGCGTGTTAAACCCCAACCAGGATAAATACAAAAAAAAAAAAAAAACATATCCAGGTACATCATAATCAAATGCTGAAAGCAAAAATAGGGAACAATTCTTGAAAACAGCCAGAGAAAAATTTATTACACTCAGGGTAATAATGATATCAAACACAGCCAACTTCTCATCCAAAATAAAGGAAATAGTAAAAGGGTCCCCAGGAGCTGGAATGTGTGAGGGCTTTGAATAGGCAGCCTTAGGGATTCTGAATTTTTTAAGTATGGCAGAAAGTTTTGAACAGAAGAATGACATAATGTAGTGTACATTTGGAATCTTCAAGAGAGAGGATAAGATCTCCCTAACCCTAAAATCCTATAGTTAGGGGCTGGGGATTTAGCTCAGTGGCAAAAGCGCCTGCCTGGCATGCGCAAGGTCGTGAGTTCGGTTCCCGGTACCGGAGAAAAACAAAAAAAAAAATAAATAAATAAATAAATAAAATAAAATCCTATAGTTAGTAAATAGAGGAGCCTCAGCTCAAACAGAGGTCTTCTGAGACCTCCTGAGCCCCTCTCTCATTGAAGGAGGCCAAAGCATGCCTGTCAGGTGAAACCACGGAGGCTTGAGCTGACCTTTGAGAGCAGCTCCCTGAAGAATTCATCTCCTGACTTGGAAAGGAGTGGGTACCATGACAGAGGACAAGAAGTCAAGAAGAGAAAATACTGGAGAATATGGGAAGTTCATGAGAAGTTTCCAGGGCCAGCAGAAGCTCCACAGTACAGCCTGCAGGCATCCTTCCTGCAGGCCTGACCCAATGAGAGAGAGCCGGTTTCCCACAGAGCCTGGTGACAAGCAGTGCATGCTTGCTTTTCCACTTGGGTTTTTCAGGGACTGGATGTGGTTTTGGCCTTCTCTTTCATTCTATATCCCAAAGAGGCCTTGGCTTGTTCCTGAAGCACTGTTGGACAGAAAACTGCTTCATCTTATCCCTCAGAGAGAGTCTTCCCAATCAGAGGGCCTGCTCCCATCTAGGGCAAGATGGCTAGTTGGCTAGTTAGACCCCTGGAATCACTGTAACCTAAGGTTGTGTTTTGTTTCATTTTGCTTTGTGCTATTTGCTGCAGTGAGACCTTCCAGTTACCTGTAATTCAGTTTGTTTTCTAATGGCTGCCCTTTGAAATATGTTGAGAACCCCAGGAATTCAGCCTACTTCGTGCCAGGGCACTGAATCTGCTAGTCTCATGACAGCTGCCCACCAGTGCAGGTTTATTTTACTCTGGAAATTCTACTCAGCCTATATGCAAACCCAGACATACTATGTCCTCTGTTTTAGATAGTTTCCTTTAGTACCTTCTGTAAACCTTTGAGAGGAGATGTATCTCCAGGCCATTTATAGAAAGTTTCTAAAGTTGCCCATGGCCCAAGTAAGTATTCTTTAAAAGAAAGTTTACATTTTGTAGGAAGAGCTGTGTCTCAATCAGAGAGGGGCTACAGGAACAAAAGACTGAGTTGGGAAGGAGCATGCTGGGATGTGAAAGGCGGTTCTTCAAAGGCTGTGGAGCTCTTCAGAGATGAGTACGGACCTCTCTCCTATTGGAGTAGCCTCTGTATTACAGTGCTTCCAGCTCAGCCTCTTTTAGCGCTATCTGGACAGATGTGGACAGCTGTGGCTAAAATCCAGGCTCCATGATGCCTCCTCTGTCTGGTTGTGTATTTAAAGTTATACAGTCACATTCTTTGAAAGCATGGCTTAAGTTTTCAAGTATCATGTGTGAGTTGGCAGAAGAAAAGGGGAGAGTGTGCCCCAAGCAAGCCCACATACCTGCTGCCCACTGGGAATGCCCGCTTTTCTGATTGTCCCCTTTGCAGCAGGCCTGCTTTGTCCGGTTCCTTGTCCTGTAGATTCAGAGAAGTGCAGGTTTAAGAGGGAACTGGTGAGGGTGCCCCTCTCTGTGACACTGACAGATGCTGTTGGGTTTTCTGCAGCTGTAACAGGTGGGATGGTAGGTGGTTTTCTCCCAAATGAAATTCCCATTTCACAGTGGTACAGCCCTGAAAACACAGGCCTCAGCATGTTGGCAAACGCTGTGTGGGCTATGTTTCTTACCTTTTCATCAGGGTCACTGTATCAAATCAGAAATCTTCACCTACCCTAGTGATGCGCCTTCTTGCTGCCCTGAAAATCTAGGCCCCTCCGTATAGAAACCTCAAGGCTTTTGTGCAAATCCAGCAATTCCCTTTCCCTCCCTTGTCTCACGAGTCCTCACAATCCTGAGCTTCCGTTTCCTCCATCTGTTCGTGTCAGATCTCTTGGCATTCACTCCACCCAGAATATCTTCCATACCTCGGCCTTCCCTGGTCTTGGCTTTCTAGACTCATCACTGGCCTTAAAAGCCCAGCATGAGCAGAAGTCAGCTTTGACCTTCTGGCCTCCTAGGGCCATCTAACCAAGCTCATTGTGTCACTTTGACTTTGCCTCCATAGTAGAAGTGCTTGGGGTGCCTGCTAATCTCACTACTAAGGCAGACTGATGCTTCTGCTATCATCAGTGGTCCTTAAACAGCTATGTGTGCCTCTCTCAGTGGTCATGCCTTTGTTGAACAGATTTGCTAAGTTCCTATATGTGCCACTCATGTGCTTGGCCTGGCGGGCAAAGGGTTCACAGCTGTAGACCTCACCCCATGGAGCTGAGCTGCTACTGAATGATATTTTCTCTTTTTGTTGTATGCCTACTAAGTACTTTTTCCCTCATCATCTGCATTACAGTGTAAAAGAGGTGGGATTTTTTTAGACCCCTTTTACATAGAAGGTGTGTGAGACTATAGAACAGTAGGTGATTTTCTCAGGGTCTTCACCTAGGGAAGAGCAATGAGGTGATGAGACCCGTCTGGTGACTTCCAAGGCTGTGGCTATCTCCAGGCAGGTGTCAGTGCCTGTGATTGGAGGGGGTGAGTGGCGATCTGGCAAGGCTCAGGTGTCCTGTGTCCAACCCTTTCATGGTGCCGTGATCTGTTTCTGCAGATTGAGCCATACATGCCGTATGAATTCACCTGCGAGGGGATGCTACAGAGGATCAACGCATTCATCGAGAAGCAGGTGAGGCACGTCAGAAGTCTGTCTGTCTCTGCTGCCCTCTGCTCCCTGCTTCCCAGAGGGCTCCCATAATAGTTCTGTGTTCACCATGTTGCTGTGGTCATTTGCCTGCTTTGGAAGACTCCAGAAGCTGCATAATGGCTGGTGGGAATTTGAAGTGCAGCACGGTCCAGCTTTCCCTGAGAGCCAGTCTTTCCTTGCAGTAGGTTCTTAGGGACAGTGGAAGGCCACATGGATCTTATAGCAGGAAACGCCCAGTAGTCAAGATGGAGACTTTCTGACTCCCAGGCCTATGTCCCAGGAGGTTCTAAGGGCATCATGAGGACAGGGGGAGGGCACAAATGGCTCTGTCCTCATTTCTCACCCTAAGAAAGGCAAGGACAGAAACCAATTTCTAAGCATTCCTTTAATAGGACGTGCTCTGAAATTCTAAGCATTTTAGGACTTTTTAGTGGTTTCTAACATCTTTTCAAATAAGACCCATTTTCAAATGAAACTTAGGGCTATAAAACAGATCAAAGCAGAGCTGCAGTTCCATTGTGGGAGAGGGCACCCAGTCCCGCCACCCTCAACAGCATTTGGAAACTACGGCCTGTGTTCCTGGAGGTAAAGGCCATGAGCACTGTTACCCTCCTTGTGTAACATTTTAATTCCTTGAACTTCAAAAGCAGAACAGAGCTAGAAATAGACTAACTCCAAACCTCCCTGGGTAGGGGGAGCTGAACTCCTTGCCTAGATTCCAGAAATAAGGGGCTCCCCTTAAAGGGTGAGGCCGGGTCTTTTATGGCGACTATGGGATCTTTACACAATGAGGGACAAGGACGACTGAAAATAGAAATTCAAGTAGACACAGATTGAATGCCCAGTGGAGGCTTCAAAGGAAGAGCAGATGGTTTGAGACTGACGCTGTGGGGAGGGAGAGGCCAAGCTGTGGGGTGCAGGCCTCAGGCTGGCCTGCCCCGCTGTCTGGGCTCTCCGAGTGGCAAGAGGGCAGCTCTGCAGCCCGGGCAGCTGGCTTCCGCTCCCGGCACTCTATGGGTGTGGTCCTGAGAGTTAGGCACATGCTACTCAGCCTCTCTGCACCTCCAGGGGCTAAGTTGCAAGAGCTAATACACAGGGAGTGCTTAAAGTCTGGTACGCAGTGCTCAATAAATGCAACCTAGTACTATTGATTACTTGATACATTATGCTGTATTATAGCATTTTACATGCCTATTATAGTCATGTAATTATAATAGATTACTCATCAGACTTCCTCATGAGAGCTGAGCGTTTGAATCATTAGCTCTGTCAGTCTCTGTATGACTGCAGAGTGATGATATTCTCATAACACCAGCAACCACATATGTACAGGTCCAGGCCGCATGTGCCAGACACATCAGAGGCCGCCAGAGCTCCCTTACCTGTGTTTCACTTTCTGAGGTTTTCGTTACCCATGGTCAACTACGATCCAGAACTACTGGATGGGAAATGCCAGTATGATACAATAAGAAATTTTGGGAGAAAGAGACCATATTCACATAACTATTATGACAGCATAATCATGTTTACCTCAGTTCTTAATTTCTTGCTGTGCCTAATTTTTAAATTAAACTTTATTATAAGTAAGTATGCATGGGAAAAAACATCAGAAAACATCATACAAGATTTAGTACTGTACCTGGATATAGGGATCCAGTGAGGGTCTTGGAACATGTATCCTGAGGGTAACAGGAGCTGCTGATAACATCTCACTGAATCTGCGCAGTAGTAATCAGCCCCTTCTCTGCATCATGGGAAACTCACAGTGATAGGGCTCATGGGGGTGGGATCAGGATGCTGTGCAGGTTTACTGTAAGGTCTGTACCATCAGCATTTGCCGGGGGCTCAGGAGGTGGCAGGTGTCCCTCAGCTTCTTCTAGCTGCTTAGCCTCCCTGAAGGTATGGAAGGAGCTCCAGGGCCTCCTTTTGGCCACGGGTCTTGAGACCTCACAGCTCTGGCTAATGTCCGTCTCCAAGGCTTTCTTGAGCTCTTACCAGACCCCTGGGCCTGCTTCCAAAGACCTGTCTCTCCCTTTCCTGAATACACTTCCTCTCGGGGAGAATAGTTCCTCACCAGAGACAAAAAGGATTCTCAGTCAGGCCTATTTGAAGGCCTTTATTTCTTTCCTTCCTGAGGTTCGTAAGCCCCAGCCAGTCCTTACAACAATCTCAGTTCCTCTTCATTCCTAGTCTGTCCCTAGGCTTTGTTAAGCAGGAAGATCCCCTTCCTGAGAGAGACCTTGCTAGGTGCTCATAATGGAGGGGCTGCCCCTGTCTTGTTCAGCTTTCCCCTCAAGGTGCCTGACATAGCAGGTGCACTGTCTCTTCCAGGTGAAAGAACAAGGGACAGGAAGGTAAGTGACTGTGTGCCTCAGGAACCAGGAACTTGCCTTGGGATTCACAGAGCTGAAATTCTCTTCTGAAAAACACGCTAATGAAACCGCGCTTTCCCGTCAACTCCTAGCTTTAGAGATTTCGGCAGAGTTGTGCAGCTCACAGAAATCCAGACTTCTTTCCTGTTTTTGCGGTTGGTTCATTCATGTGCTTGGTGACTGTTTGTCCCTGGAGCATCTTGTGGGCCGTGCTGCCGTCAGGGAAGAGATGTCAGAGGCACAGCCTCTAATCTCAGGTGTCTTGAGTTTCACGGAGGAGACAGCCACGTCCACACCTTGAGCCGGTATAGGTTGAGCCTTACACAGCCTGTGTGCTTCAGGTCACATCACTCACCCTGCAGGCGGACAGGGGGAGAGTCAAGGGAGAGTGTGAAGGCTTCTTCGGGAGGCACAGGCTGAAGGCAAAACGGGAGGATGGGAAAGACTGGGCAAGTCAAAATACCAATGCCTGAAAAGAAAGGACTGATGAATCTTAGGACACAAAGGTGTGACTGAAGGGGGAGGAGAGACGAAGGGAAAGGAGGAGACAGCGAGCAGTGGAGCTGAGACTCTGCTGAAGTGTTCTGATTTGATTCTGGGAAAACAAATCAGAAGCGCCTGGAGAAAAGTTTGAAGAAAGGTTCTATCACTGGTTAAGTGCAGTGATGGTATCAGGTCTTGTAGAAAAATGTTTCTGACAATCTTGTGTTCGGGGCATCCCTTATGACATTTTCCCAGTGCATGAGCAATAAGGGGGCCATTCTGAGTTTAGACCAGGAATTCTGTTGGACCTAAAATGTTCCTCCCTCCGGGCAGAAGCCAAAGCCCACTGACTCACACAACAGGTTGTCTGCCTTTGAGTGTTAGTTCTAGTATTGAAGAGCTTGGGACATTTGTTATTTTCATAGCTAGCAGAGTATCTTCAAGTTGCGGTGAAGGTGGACAGGAAGCCAGCGGCTTGGGGAAGAGCTTCGTGTGCTGTGGACTTCGGGAGCCACAGAGCTCACGTGGCCAACTGTGGCCCCCAGAGTCCTCCACGTGAAACACAGTTGCTTTGGTCAAGGTTGTCCCTAATACTCACCGAAGGCAGCAGCAGCTGGAGGAAGCCAGTTGACAGCCACTGAGAGCACCCAGGTGTCAGGGGAGAGCTGAGCAGTCACCAGCAAAGTGCAGGGACCCCATGGGAAGGAAGCAAGCTCTAGAGAACCCATATACTCACCTTCCTCTGTGCCCCCAACCCTTTTGCTCCACCTAAAGGGATCAGGATCGTGCACTGTTTGAAACGAGCTCCCTAAAAAGATGCTCTCTAAAAAAAGATGCAGCCTGCAGCAGAGGGGAAGTTAGTGCCAAGGCAAAACCCCCCTGTACTCAGACCAAGCACAGTCATTCCCTCACTAAGACCTGAGACTCATTAAAGTTTTTATTATGCATTTGCGGAGAAGGTATCTGTTTACCTTGGGCCAGAGAGCATAGCAGGTTCTTCGGGACAGCAGTGTTCCTATTGCTTTCTGAAAACCACACATACATTCTTCAGCTCTTATTTTCTACTTCCTGTAAAGACCCTTTACATGTGACTGACTGTGGTAGTCAGTCACGGGTGTACGGTTTCTGGAAAGTTGTATAATTCAAGTGCAGTGTCTTCTGTGGACATGGAGAGACCGGAAGAGTCAGCTTCACAAGTGGAGTCCGATGTGAGGGCAAGTGTGACAGTGAGGCTGGGGGTCCTGGGGTGGGAGCATGGTGGAGGTGACACAGTTTGCGGACAAAAGAGGAGAAGTCATGGAAAGGTGGAGAAGGCGGGCCCAGCTTGGGGAGCTGAGCCAGTATGATGAAGTTCTGCACCCCGGAGTCTGGCTGCCTAATGTCACAGCCTGGCTGAGCTGCCACTTTCTGTGACCTTGGGCAGGTTCCCTCGCCTCTGTGTGCTGTGTCTTTTCTTGCAATATGAGGATGATGATGCTTATCCCATAGAGCCTTTGGAGGGATCAATGGCTTGATTCATATTTGGAGCTGACAAGTATCCCTGGCCCTGAAGGGGCTCTGAAAGCCTCAGCCACTCCCTGACCGGGGAGCCCAAAACTAACCACGTGCTTCCCTGACGGGCCGTGAAATTCACGCCATGCAAAGGTGCAGTTCAGTGATTTGTTGGCAGATGGCTGGAGGTGTACAATTACCACCTCTGGGGTGTGCAACATTGCCATCACCCCCGAGTGACACCTGCTTGCAGTCTGTTCTTGCTTCTGCCACAGCCCCAGGAAACCACTCATCTGTCTTCTGTACCGGATTTGCTTTCCTGAAGATTTGTGACTTTTGCACTTGGCATCATGTTGGGTTCTTCCACACTGTAGCACGTGTCAGAACTTATTTCTTATTGCTCAAGAGCACTGTGTCATGCGGGTGGACCACAGTGTGCTCGGTCACCCGGTGGGTGACTGCAAACGACCTGGGTCGTTCTGACCGTTGCGCTGAGTGCCACTGTGAACATCCCCATGCACCCTTTGTACGGACCTGTGGTTTCGTGTCTCTTGAGCAGGCCTCTCGAAGTCAAAGCTTAGGAAGTGTCACAGATTTATGTGAAGTCTCAAGGTGCAGTTGAGTGGCGGATGTGGC